GTTCCCAAGCCGCAGAAGCGAAAATACCAAAAGGGAAATACTTCAGCTGCTGCAACACTTCTCAAATTTTGCCGTTAACCACCCGAAATCATCCCGAGGCCCCTGGGGCCTCAACCAAAAGCACAAATAACACCTAATACCTCATTCAAACTTGTACCAATCCTTAAACCACCTAAAACAACGCCGGAAACTCGAATTAAACAAGGATTTGAGCCTAAGAACTTCCAATTTTATCAAAATATACTTTCGATCAAAAACCTAACCAAAACACATCCGAATGACCTGAAATTTTGCACACACATCCCAAATGACATGACGGAGCTATTGCAACTTCCGGAATTCCAATCCGACCCTCTGATCAAAAACTAACTATCGGACCGGAAACTTCCAAAATTCAAACTTCGGCATTTCAAGCCTAAATGAGCTACGGACTTCCAAAATACATTCCGAACATGCTCCCAACCCCGAAATCGCCTAACGGAGCTAACGGAACCATCGAATTTCCATTCCGAGGTCGTCTTCACACGGTTCCGACTACGGACCATTTTTCAACACTTAAGCTCTCATTAGGGACTAAGTGTCCCAAAACTCTTCGAAACTCAACACCGAATGTCCCGGCAAACCAAAATGGCAGAAATGAACTTAGGGGAAGCAGTTAATGGGGGATCAGGGCGTTAATTCTTAAGACGACCGTCCGAGTCGTCACACGACCAACTTTGGTCGCTAAATATACATAATTTTAAATTAGCGACCCAAGTTGGACGCTAAATTTAATCAGATTTATTTATCTTTCATATAATATTTAAAATATTAACTGGGTCCCAGGTTAGCGACCAAAGTTGGTCTATATTCTACTGAGCGACCAACATTGGTCGCTAAAGTTGAATTATATTTATTTATATTTTATATTTTTTTTAAACAAAATTATAATTGTTAAAATTTTATAACTGGGTTCTAAATTAGCGACCAAAGTTGGTCTCAATTTGTTTACTCTTTATATAGCGACCAACTTTGGTCGCTAATGTTAAATTTTATATATTTATATTTTATTATTTTTTAAAAATAATGTTATAATTATTAAAATTTAGTAGGAGGGTCCCATGAAGCGACCAACGTTGGTTGCTAATCTGAGTAATTCTTTGACCAAGCAAGTCTGACCAGTCCGGTCAACAGTTTGACAAAATTTTCGACCAAGTGGCGACCAACGTTGGTCGCTAATTTATTTAAAATTATTATTTTATTATTTTCACCAGTTTAGCGACCAACTTTGATCGCTTTTCTTGACAGATCAATATTGATCGCTAAAGTTTGGTCGCTTTTTGCAGGAATTCTAGCAGTGAGTTCGAATTAAGTAAGGCCTTGAAACATGGAGATCGGAACTCATTGATTTTAACCACTTTGATTTGAAATCCCTAATATTCTCCAAGAAAATATTTTCTTGGGGTTGATAAAAGTTGATAAAGATCCCATTGGGTTTGTCGGATTGTATTGAGGTTTTCTATGTTGATTCGACGGGTGGATTTAATTTAGTTCCACATTATTAACGTAATCTCCGCAGATATATATCCCTTGACATATGGAAGTACTGCAATTAGAACCCTTAAAATTTGGGTTTAGGTGTTAAGTAATGTGTTATTCTCATTTAATTTCATCACAAAATGAGAAAAATTTATATTTTTTTGGTGTATACAGGTTGGTGACAGTTTCTTCGTGGATACTCTCTCCGTCCAAATTTACTTGTCCGCTATACAAAAAATAGATATCACTTTTACTTGTCCAGATTGGAAAACTAATAGATAATTTACCATTTTAAATCTATTTTACCCTTCTTACTACTTATTTTCTATTTATTTTCTAATATATAATAAATAGAGGTAATATAATAAAATTACCATATTCCTAATTCATTGATATGAGAAACTATATTTCTTAAGGGGTGTGACAAGTGACTAACTTAGATTGAGAGAGTGTCTTAGCCATCATTATTACTTGTGAGGCAGCTTTCATCTCCTTTTACCTATTCCTAATATATATATATATATATATATATATATGTGTGTGTGTGTGTGTGTGTGTGTGTGTGTGGCCCGTAATGGCCCGTGATAAGTTTGATAATAAACAAAGATAAGGTATGTGGTGCTCGGTTGNATATATATAATCACCATTGATTAGTATGACATCTTCTTATATTTCCTATCCTTCACATGTCTTGCCCACTGGAAAATAACATGCACTGGTAATGTAAGTGGAATACTAATTAATGTTTCATCTCAGTTCACACCGAATTTGATACACGTAATTAATCTTCAGTTTTCATGAAAATATATTGGCACACTATATATAGTGGTAATTTAATTTAGCAACAAGCTGAATAAGATAGATTTCAAAATAATAGTACTCTTTAACTAGATTGTGATAAACAATATCAAACGTAAATCTTTTATAAGTTTGGCAACTAAAACACTAAAGTGATATAGATCACATTTGAACGAAATACTTTTAAGATCAAATTTGAGTATTGCATGTCACTCTTAGCCTTTGAAATTTATTTCCGAAAGGAGCCTAATCTCAACTCCGATTTCTGTTGTCTTTTCATATTTATGTCCACTAGCTTAGAAAACCAAGAAGCCTGGGTAACAAAGGACGCAGGATTCTTTTCCCAATAAGTATACAGAGAACGTGGGATACTTGGAATCTTTCCAACATTAGATAATGTATTATGTTGACATACTTAAGACAAAATATATCCATTTTTCCACTATCTTTATTTCCTCCCACTTCCCTTACACTATCTATTTTTTTTCTTCCCACATAATATCTGTGAATATAGGGCTACGCTATCAACTACTACTACTGCCAAAGCACGACGTTGGTGAATTCCAATTATTGGTACGAACAACATTTTAATACGATCTCTGTTCAATGTATGCTTCACTTAGACGTAAATCAAATACTATTAGTTTTCCTATTCTTTATGTTAATTAATAAATTAGATTTCTTTCCAAATTTTTGTGTGAAAAGAAAATGAATACTACACTACTGATGAAATTGGAATCCTCATAATTTTACATCCTGCGTCTCTATTTCATTACTGATAAATTGAGTTTTTTTTTCATTTTTTTAAAGTTATATAATTTTGATCTCTTATTTTAATATTTATAGTTTCGGTGCCAAAAATTTTTGTCATCTTTTCATAACATACGAAGTTAACTCATTTCAACAGATATCAAAAATGTGTAAATATGAAATTATACTATCTAAAGAGCTTCTCTTTCCAGAATTGATAGGAGTAGTTCTTATCCCGATGACAAAAAGAAAAGCAAAAAGAAAGTGCATGTTCAATTTTTACTGTCTCTCTTTATTCTAGCAGGATACATGTTGCAGTGCTAAGGTGACAGCTAGATGATATGGCAAGTTAAGGAAAGAAGAGTAGAGTTGAGTGACAGTCAGTTAATTCAGCAAAAGTTAGTTGACTGTTAGAAGTTAGTTTAACAGAATTAATTAGGAGGTTAGAACTAATCTAGAGTTAGTCGGCTATATATATACGCACGTGTACAGTAATGAGCTTAAGCTTTGTAATTGATTTTCTCTCAATACACATATCGATACACATATTGATACAGTTTTCTAGAAGGTTCTCTTCCTAAGCTTCATCTTCGACGTCTAAGTGGACCTTCACATCCACGGAACAATGATGGATTTAACATGGTATCAGACCTAGAGTGAATCGATCGAAGCTGGAATTCTGGTTTTAGAATTGTTGTTGTGAAAGTACTGAGAAAATTTTCAATTGATTTTTGCTTCTTCTCAATTCCCCAATTTTTGGAAGTAAATATGCAATGGCTACTTTAGAGATAATCCCCGACATCCGCTATACCTACAGCCTTCAGATGCTCCAAGAAATGTTATAATTTCTGTCCGATTAATAGAATGTGAGAATTATACAGTTTGGAGCAGAGCAATGAAGATCGCATTGCGAGCCAAACGCAAGTTAGGGTTCATAACTGGTACATGCACTAAGGATCAATTCATATATGATTTAGGTGAGGAATGGGAACGTGTTAATGCCACAGTTTTGACTTGGATTATGAACACAATATCGTCGGAGTTACTGAAGGGGATAGTCTATGCCAATAATGCTGATGAGGTGTGGACAGATCTACAGGATCGTTTTGACAAAATTAATGGATCAAGGATATATAACCTTCATTGCGAATTTGCCACAGTCTCCCAGGTACTTCTAGCATTTCTGATTACCATTCGAGGCTTAAATTGTTGTGGGATGAGTATAGTGCTCTAATTCCAACTCTTCCTATAACTCCTGGAACAAGAGAATTCATAAGACACTCGGAACAACAGAAACTTTTTCAAATTTAATGGGATTAAATGAGAGTTACAGTGCTATTAGAAGCCAGATACTGCTCATGTCTCCATCACCAAATGTGAGTCGCGCATATGCTATGCTGATACATGAGGAAAGTCAAAGGAAAGTTTGCATGTCCAATACATTAATGAATGAGGTGAATGATTCCACTTCCTTGATGAGCTCTAGGGATAATCTACAGAATTCACTACAAAAAAATACTAATTTTGCGGAGGTTTTATTTACAATATTGTGGCGGTCAATAAACCCCGCAATTTGCTGTTACGGCGGTTTCCAAAACCCCCGCAATAATGTTCGCCACAATCAATTTGCGGGAGTTTTTTGGAGGACCGCCATTATCATATAGCGGCGGGTATTTAGCGTCGGTCTAACCTCCGCAATTTGATAGTTTGACTTTTTGAGGACACACGTATAAAAAAAAATAGCGGCAGTCAAAACCCCACAATAATTTTATTTAACCCCCGCAAGTTTAAATATAATATATTTATACATTAAATTGCGGCAGTTATAACCTCCGCTATTCATCGAGTTTTTTTTTGGCAGCTGTTATACCCATATATAGCTGATCCGATTTCAATTTTGTTAATATAATGAAGCATCATCAGATTATATAGAATCAAGTAATTAACATCAATATATTAATAAACCATAAAATACATTAAAGTAGACTATCACTAGTCTCAAAAACTTGTTTTAAACACAACTACTACATCCATTAAACACAAAACATCAGTATTATAGTTAGTCTTAAAACTAACTTTAAACAGAACATCTACTCCAACTATTATCTCCTATGACCATTCAATCGAGTACGATACATTTGCAAGCAACTTCAATGGTTGTCATTAGGATTACTTCTTACATCCATGGGTAAAATGGATCCGCTAGCCGCATCACCTGGCTAAAAAAAATCAAAATAAAATATAATTAACGAAAAGTACCTCAATAATATCCTAATTAATAATCACTTAGCTTCAGTCAAGTATCAGTAACTTCAAGAATTACTTTCCTCCTGATCTAACTTCAAAAGTAAAAGGGACACTTAGAGATAAATAAATCCCCTATGGAATTGAAATGGTGGCTGATGCTGCTGTTACAAAGTTCAAGAAGGTAATTTCACTTCTAGATCTGTGGTCTTCTGAACCACAGATCTTACAAATTGGAGGCTACCTAATGTATATCAAGTAGAATAGCCACAACTCCAATGACATGTACATTGTGGTCTTCTTACTCTTCTCTTAACAATGAGACAAAAAGTAGAATGTAACTAACATTAATTGTATGTTTAAGAATATTACATCACTGTGAAGAGGTTTGGTAAATTCATGCGTTTACAACATTTTAGTTGCCCGATACCGACGAACCTGAACTTATACAAATCAAGAAATAGAATAGGGGATAGGCTGATGTTTTGTGTGCTAATTTGCTGTAGATAGAACAACATGAAAGATCAAAAATGCACATTTGATGAGAATGCATGTGTAGATATAGGAGTGAAAAAAGTGAGAAAAAGAGTCAAACACCACATAGCATAAAAGTTTTCAAAATTAAATAAGAAAGTTATGAACTTTTCTTACTGTTGAATGAGGAGGAGAAACAAAGATCCCTGCAAATTCTTCAGGTATCCTCCCTTCTTTCATTATCATATACGCCTTAAAAGCATTTATCATTTGGGTGTTAGCATTCATCATTTGGGTGTTAACATTCATCATTTCTCTGTAGTTCTCTTGGCTTTGATTGGGAGCATTCAACATTTGATTGTACTTCTCTTGGCATTGGGAAGAACATGAACCATTATTATAAGTTGAAGTATTCAAATCACCATAACGAGGTCTTGTTTGTCTAAAAGCTCTCCCAGGAACAACTCCTAATCCCAAGCACCTTACCCTTCCAGAGTGCTCTTTTTCCAGCACCTTACTAACGGCATCATTTGGCAAAATTTCAGACTCATCCACGGTGCTTTAGCTCAATCCTAGTTCAATTTTTTCCTAAATACATTACACACTAAAGGTCAGTGTCCTACCTTCAATCAGTGATTGATAAGTTATTAAAAAAGAAAAACAAGAGAAGAAGAATATTCAGCTTCTGAACAAGATCAATTTGCCTCATATAGAAGGCATACTATTCAATGAATGTCTCTAGTGACAGATGAGATCAGGGCCAATGCATCAGAATTCTACATTGGAAATGAGATTTGCCAATAGAAATCCAAATCTTGCTAACAGAATTAGGTTAGCCAAATGGCCTACTTCCCATGCAAGACATGTTAGAATGTGGCTATGTGAAGGATACATGATTTGTTTGGCTCAAATCTAAGTAAAAAACTGAGCACAAGTTTGAGAAAATTGGAAGGCAGGTTCAATATGGAACTGAAGTGACAGCCATTATTGAACAAAACAAGATCAAGAAACTAACTGGGGTTAAAGCTAAGGAGCTCCTTATGTGGTTAACACTTACTGAAATCTGTGTGGATGATCCACCAACTGGGAAAATCCATTATGAGCCATAAGACTTTTCTATAGTTATGAGCCATAAGAATATCCTGCGTTTTGTGTTTGCCATAATAGAATGGCCAAGTTACTGCATGTTTACTAAGCATATATCCCAAAGGGATGATCACCTATGTAATGTTGTATAAAGTAATATCTATACTTTTGCTGTATTAACGAATGACTTTATATATGTCTCATCAAAAGCATATCCAGAATTTTTAAGTCAATAGGTATGAAGTATCATTCCACCTACGCTTTCTGATAATCGTTTAGGAATACAGAGTGTTATAAGATACAACTTTTTGAGTAATGCACCAGTAACATTTCCATTCACTCAAACAATTTGTATTACTAGGTACTAAATGATTGCAAATTTGATGGAAGAAATTAAAAACTTACACATATCTCTTTTGCTGCCTCATTAACATATGATCCATCTCCATTCCTATGTGTAACGAGATAAAGCTGTCCTCGTCCAGGATTTTGTCCAGTCTGAGCCATCTATAAATGAAAAAGTTAAAGTCGCATTAACTTAACTAAGAATAGTTTCTAGTTTAATTAAAGTATTCAAAATGAATCAATACCATTTCAGCCCTTCTTCTGGAGTAAGGTTTGGAGCCACCGATATGTGAAACAATTTGTTTCTTTCGAATTTCAGCATTTCTTTTACAAATTTCCTTACAAAAAGATACCACGAATTACACATACTTGCCTATTGTATACTTGTAAAATCATAATATCTGTTTAACAACGAATTACACATAGAAGCTCTTTTGTTTGTAGAACAACTTCCATTTTAGTTAGATATTGTCTCTCTTTACAGAATAATAATTGGCACGAAGCTACCTCTTATGGAACCTCCAAAGGTTCAACCTCTTATACAAACAAATATATAATTACACATACTAATTAAAGCATTGAAATAAATACCTGTGTCTTTTCTTTAAAGCGGTAATCAACAAAAGAAATCCATTGATCCGGTGGAATTCCCAGTGGAACGCTATCCATTATCTCAGCTCTGCTCTTAAGTGGATCATAAACCTTATCAAACAACTTTGGCCTTTTTGCGCCCCACTTCTTACACATAGAATTATAAACATATCGTCTTGCATTTGACTCAGTTGTCCGAAAACAAAATCGTGGCTTCAAGGATAAACCAATGGTTAGATAATTATTACATGCAAATATAAAATCTAATGACATAAAACCGAGATATGGTATACCTCGGGAATACCTTTATAAATCGATCATAACAACGATTGAAGATTGTCATAGGTAAATCCGGTCATTTCTCAAAGTGAATTGGAAAAATGGAGCAGTTAGTTGCTAAAATTCCACAAAATCCTACAAGAACGCCTTGTCCTTCACCAATGGGAGAATCCATGTCGTCAAAATCAACCACAATACGTTCTCCATTAGATAAATTTAACATGTCCCTTTTCTTCACTTTAAGTATCTTGCTAGCTCCTTGTGAATCTTGAAAGATAAAAACAAAAATCAATGTGGTTCTCTATTCTGTGAGGCAGCAGATTATTAGGTGTGGCGTAAAATAGCAGAATGTATAAATGAATGTAGGGCTCTAAGCAGTAGCAAATTCATCCATAGAACAAGCAATGATTTCTCCTGCAACCATCCTGAAAGATACAAAAGGTTTGATATTCCGACGGAACTCAACATGGATCTGAATACAACTCGTTGAATACATTTGGGTGTGTTATTGTTGTATAAAATTAGAAGTTCATATTTTCAAAAAGAAATTCAGTCCATATACCAATAAAATTCTGCCCTTTAAGTTCATTTCTCAAGAAGAAAAAAGAGGTTGATGATCCTTTAATTCGACAACATCTAGTGTTCCATTTGAATGATCTACTTAGAAACCAAAAGGTCTCTTTTGCATACAGAAAATACAGTGCGTACAGTGAATGAAGTGACAACAACGAAGGTACAACTTTAATAGGAATACTATTTTGCAGCGTCACTTCTGCACTATCATACAATACCACAAGAAGGATGCAAGAGGTTTGATAACGAATGTAAAGTGATAAGAAGCATTAAGCATAGGTTCTCTATTCTTCAAGGTAATAGATTGTTAGTTGCGGCGTGAAATAGGCAGAAAGTATAAATGAATGGAAATAACATACCTATTGCATCTACAGTCCAATGTTGCGTAGACACACGTCCACTACGCTTTCTAGATAGTGGTTGTTGTGACGCGGCCCGGACAGATGGAACCTGCAATGTTGTTGTCTGATCTGACAGAATCGAATTTGCTGCAGCCTGACTTGAAGGTGTTGGTCGTGCTGTCGGTTGAACTTGTGGTGTATCATCAAAATGCGAAGGTGTTGATTTAGTTGATAAAGGTTGTGCTACACCTTGTGAGGTAGATGCTGACTGAATTGAGTTCTGGAAGTTCTCGTAGCATCATAGTCATTCCCTTGTCACTTAGCCTAGGAAAACACTTTATGTGATACAACTTTAACAAAAATTCTAGCTTCGAGTACTTGGACCCTTCGTATAATTCTTCACTTCCATCTCTAAGCAACTCAAAAAATTCTTTGTTATTTGAAGAAGGCAGATCATTTAATATTTCTTCTTCTCCAACTACTTGTGACGAACCTGCATCAATGCCCTCATGCCTTAAACCTGGGGATGCTTCATTTATCTATAATTCCATAGGATTTTTAGGAGGCAGTGCATCTGGGACAACCTCTGTGCTTCTAGAGTTCTTCAACACTTGTGTTTCCCCATGAAGAATCCAAGTGACATAATTTTGAGGGAATAACTTGCTAATCAAATGATCGTACACTATCTCTCTAGTCTGCCACTTCCCAAAACCACATTTAGGTCACGGGACATTTTATTCTATCTCCTATAGAAGCATTCTTAAATGCAAAATTTAGAAATTGATTCAAACCAAGTAAATACTTTGTTGTATTTCTAGGCATTCAAATCCAAGATTTATCCATTGGAAGGTATTGATATAACCTTTCAGAACTGATCAACCGATAAGGATTTCCCCAAGCAAGAGTGTTTACTATAACCTACAATATTTCCATGAGAAAGGATGATTTAGTAACCTATCAATGCAATAACATTATAACATTTTGTAAGATAATAAAAAATGGCACAAGAAAATATTTGTTGAAGAATAAGGTGGAAATCATAAAGTTACTGTGATATATATAACTTTGAAGTTCAGAATGTCTAAAGAAAGTATCTTTTTTTTACACAAACAGTATATCTTCTTTTGCAAGGTCCATGGACTCATTGCAACCAATTGAAGTTCAAAAAGAAATTCATTTCAAAGAACTTTTGATTGAGACAGTATTATTAATGACTTTGTTCTAAGATTTAGTACCCTCCACTTTTTCCTTCTGCTATCTTCCTACTGAATTACAAACTCATCCATAATTACAATAGCATTCGTTAGGTATATTGTTCTTCTATGTCCTCCTTCTATCTTTACAAGCCAACACGGAGTTTTATTCTGATAGAATAAAACCAGCCAACTAATAAGCACATAACTGAAGATCATCAACTGCCAACAACAGCATATACACATTGCGAATTCAAATATACAAGGGGGTTACTTGAGAATTTAATTCGCAGAAAAAGACAAAGCGCCATAGATTAATTTGAAATATTTCTCTGTTTTGCATGTCACATATTGATGAATGTGCGGATTCAAATGCCAATTTGTGAGAACACAATTGCATAAACACGCTGGGAGTTACAATTGTTCCTGTTATGAAGGATGCACCGGAGATGGTAAAGAGAATGATCATGGGCTCATGGCTGTATTGCACTAAACTCAAACTCTGAGTTCCATGGATCAAGTTTTCTGTTGGTAAGATTCTCATAAATTGAACTTGTTTCCGTGTTACTACTTAATGCTTATTGTAGAAATTTACTTACTAATTACTTTACAAGTAATCTATTTGTGTAAATATTGTTCTTTATACCATCCATACATAGAACTTAATCTTTTAAGTATTATACATGATGGCGTTAGAGATACACTAATTTTTAAACATGCCAAACAAATCATAGTAAATAAAATAAAAGGAAAAAGGATAACGAGAGAAACAGAGACATGCAAACTGATTTCATAGCTTAAATAAGAAAAAGTTTACTCCTTCCTATAGTTTTTCGATTTTCATCTAAAACCAGCTTGGGTTTTCAGAACTAGGCTAGTATTTCGTTTGTGAACTAGAACCAGCAAAAGGAAATATTTCAATTAAGACCCAAATCACAAAATTAACCTACAAAATACACAAAAAATCAAAATTAACCTAATGCAAAAGGAGAAAGAGGACTTATATCTCGATTACAACAAATAGGGTTATATCCTTCTTCAAAATACACTGATTCTACCAAATTTCTGCTACTTTCGGCAGAGAATCGAAAAATATCAAATGAAAGAAAGAGAAAAATCAGTAAAGGGAAAACACAAATTAACAGAGAAAATAAACTTAAAACCCACATGCATGAAGAAAGAAAGACAAAAAAGCAAAATCAAAGAATGGGGAAGAGCAAAATCTAATAAACTTACATCCAATTGATAGATAGATCTAAAGTTTTCTTTTGCAATCTTGATGAGCTGTGAAGGTTTTTGTTTTACTAAATGCAATTGATTTTACTATTTCAAAATATGAAGGCAGCGTATAAAATTGATTTTGTTTGCCGGCTGAATTTAATTCAAAGGCAGCGTATAAAATTAAGTATACAGCCTGTGGAGGACCATTGTCTTGATTTCGTTGAGAGATGCTGAAATGAAAGGGTAATTGTGGAGGACCGACTATTGTGAATGGCTAGATGGGAAAATCAAAGGATTTCTGAGAATGGGGGAGAGAGGGGTAGCTGAAAATGAGAAAGGGGTTTGCGAAAAAAAAGAGAGGGAATGGATTAAAAATGAGGGAAACATTGGGGTTAGTGGGCGTTATTTTTTTAAGGGTTGTGGAGGTTAATGACCGCTTTAAATTTAATATATTTGCGGTGGTAAATAAATCCCCGCAATTTGATTTAGATTGCAGAGGTTAAAGTAGCCCCACAATAAAACCTTCGCAATTTAGCATTTTTTTTTGTAGTGATTCAAAAGATATGAAAACATGTATTGTGAGTACTGCAGAAATAATAGCCACACTAAGAATACTTGTTACAAATTGGTGGGCTATCTACCTAGTTTTAAAGGAAAGAAGAAGTAGGAATATCGGCAGGCCAATGTAGCGTGAGTGACAGTTTTTATGCAAAAGATGATATGTTTCAAGTAGCTACAAATGCTGACCCTAATGGAACAAGGCAGGGAATGCACAACTACTTCACTGATGAGAAGTACAATCAGATAATAAAGCGCTAAACAAGGACAAAGGAGAAGAGGTTGCATTAAATATGACAGGTAATGTTGATTCACAGTTGACTCAAACCTGTGAAGTCCCCTGAATTATTGATACAGGGGCAACAAATCATATGACCTCAAATATTAGTTTGCTGACAGATATATAACTAGATTATCTAGCTCTAAAGGAGGTAATGTTCATCTGCCAAATGGCAAGTCAGTACCAGTTATGTATCAAGGAAAATGTAGCATCACAGGTGGTGAATCAATTCACAATGTTATGTGTGTTCCTGACTACAAATACAATTTACTGTTAGTTTCAAAATTGACTAAGGAGTTGTTTGTCTCAGTGCTTATCTTTCCATCATTCTGTGCATTTCCGGACTTATAAACTGGAAAGGTGAAGGAGATTGGTAAGAAAAAAGGTGGCCTTTATCTGCTACTGCCAGATGGATCAAGCGCAAATAAGCCCAAACATCATATTAGGAGTTGTTAAGCAGAAGATACTGCTGCTATTAATAATGTGTGGCACAGAAGACTTGGACATGTACCAGCTAAAGTAATGAGGCAGCAGGCTTTTATGAAGAACAAGATGTTTGTTAATTACAATTTTAATAAGTGTACTATATGTCCATTAACAAGACAGACTAGGAAACCTTTCCCTCTTAGTACTAATAGAGCAGAAGTTATTCTTCAGCTAGTACATGTAGATATTTGGGGACCTTATAAGGTACCTACCTATAATAGAAATAAATACTTATTGACACTTGCGGATGATCATTCTAAAATGATTTGTTTTTTTTTTAATGAAGTTGAAAAGTGATACACTTGTGCTTCTAAGGTCTTTTGTGAATATGGTAAATGTGCAGTTTAACCATAATATTAAGACTTTCAGAACTGACAATGGTACTGAATTCTTTAGCTCTAAATGTAAAACCTTCTTATCAGAAAATGGCATACCACATCAGAGTAGTTGGCTACACACACCACAACAAAATTGAGTGGTAAAGAGGAGACGCGGGCACATTTTAGAGGTAACAAGAGCACTAAGATTTCAGGGAAGTATACCATTGTATTTTTGGGGAGAGTGTGTAGTGACAGTTGTGTATTTGATAAATTGACTATCATCTTCTGTATTTGGTGGTAAGTCACTATATGAGATCTTTCATAAATAACCACCTTAATTACTTCATTTAAGGACCATTGGTTGCCTTTGTTTTACCGTAGTCACTAACAAGAATGATAAGTTTCTTCCTAGGGTAATAACAATAATACCTATGGGATACTCAACATCCCAGAAAGGGTACAAACTGTACAACCTAAAGGACAAGAAATTCTTTGTCATAATGGATGTTACATTTAGAGAGGATGTATTTCCATTCATGTTGATGAAGGAAGGAAGAAGTCCTCCCCTAATTTTGACTCAGCCAAGTACCCTACAGCAGATCTAGTCTCAGTTCAGCAACAACATGTTCTAGTTCAAGTAGTGGAACAACCATCTCCTGAAAATCAAGATGCAGTCCATCAGCTATTTTAAGACCAACCCGAGCAACTAGATCAACTGCCTGACAATGATGATGAGGAGATTCCAGTCCAGCAATTAGGTTAGGAAGCAGAATTTGCCAATGAGGGAGTCTCACATCTGCAGCTCAGAGGAACTGGCAGGGATCAAAGCTTCCACTTTGGACCAAAGACTATGTTTGTCCAACTGTGAAGCCTTCTTCTTTTTCAACATATATATACCCTATATTAGACTATCTAGGTTGTAACTCTATGAGTAGAACCTATGAGTCCTACCTTGCTGCAGTGTCAACAGATGTTGAACCTATATCCTACAATGAGGCAATGAAAGATCAGAGGTGGGTGGATACTATGCAGGCCGAGATAAATGCATTAGTAAGTAATAACACATGAGAGGTAGTTCATGTTCCCAAGGCAAAATTCCCATTGGGTGGCATCTATGAATTAATTGGACTTATTTCAAATGGATGTCTACAATGTCTTTCTTCAAGGTGATCTTGAAGAAGAGGTATATATGCAAATGCCACCTGGATTTGATAGCCAATGGGGGAACATAAGGTGTAGACTACTCAAATCTTTGTATGGTCTCAAACAATCATCTAGGCAATGGAACCTCAAGCTTACATATGCACTCCTGAAGGCTGGTTTCGTGCAAAGCAAGCATGATCATTCCCTATTCATTCTGAAGAAGCACAACAGACAAGTTATAGTACTTGTGAATTTGGATGACCTTCTCATTACAAGTGATGATGCTAGTCTGATTCAGGAAACCAAAGACACTCTACAAAACAACTTCAAAATGAAGGATTTAGGAACAATGAAGTACTTCTTAGGGATAGAAGTGTGTAGGTCACAAAAGGGAATTCTGTTATGCCAAAGAAAATATACATTGGAGCTGATTGCAGAACTAGGTGTGGCAGGTTCTAAGCCCGCACTAACTCCAATGGAGCAAAAAAAGAAGCTTACAACAGTTGAATATGATCAACATTGTAACATCAATGATGATGCAGAATTAGCAGATGTGAGGTAATACCAAAGGTTGGTTGGAAAGCTGCTCTATTTGACCTTAATTAGGCCAGATATAGCATATAGTGTGCAGACCTTGAGTTAGTTCATGCAGTCTCCTAAGAAGTCACAGCTTGAAGCAGATTATAGAGTTGTGATATATGTGAAAAATGAACGAAGTCTTGGGGTAGTGATGAGTGCAGAAAAGGACATGGCCTTAACGACATTTTGTGATGCAGACTGAGCAAGTTGTCCAAACTCAAGGAAATCAGTAACTGGCTATTTGGTGAAGATTGGTAGTTCTCTGATAGCTTGGAAGTCGAAGAAGCATCACAGTAGCAAGAAGCTTAGCAGAATCAGACTACAGAAGTATGGCTCTGACAGTAGCTGAACTTGTATGGTTGCTAGGTTTGCTCAAGGAATTAGAAGTCAAGGTCCCTACTCTAATACAGTTGTTTACAGAAAGTAAGGCTGCAATGCAGATGGCTAACAATCCGTGTTTCACGAAATAACAAAACACATAGAGATTGATTACCACTTCATAAGAGAGAAAGTGTAGCAGAGTATGATACATCCTAAATATGTGCCAACAGATGAGTAAGAAGCAGATGTGTTGACAAAAGGGCTTCGTAGTTTACAGCATTATCATCTATTGTCCAAGCTAGGATTGTTGAACATTTTCACACCACCTAGCTTGAAGGGGGATGTTGAAGTGCTAAGGTGACAGCTAAGTGATATGACAAGCTAAGGAAAGAAGAGTAGAGTTGAGTGACAGTCGGTTAGTTTAGCAAAAGTTAGTTGACTATTAGAAGTTAGTTTAACAGAATTAGTTAGTAGGTTAGAACTAATTTAGAGTTAGTCAGCTATATATATACACGCACGTGTACAGTAGTGAGCTTAAGCTTTGTAATTGATTTTCTCTCAATACACAAACTAACACAATTTTCCAGAATGTTCTCTTCCTAAGCTTCATCTCCAACATCTAAGCTGACCTTCACATCCACACAACAATGGTGGATTTAACAATACAGACAACCTCCATTGTGGTCTGGAACAAGATAAGAACAATAAAAATTTACATGTACCAAATGTTTACGATATACCATGCTAATTTATCATGATCAGGTGAAGAGCCAAGGTGAGATTATGTAGTAATTAACTATGTTTAATGATAACTTTGTTTGTGAAGACATGTACCATAATATGTTGGGTTAATGTAAACACCAAATATGCACATGCGTAAAATTTTACCAGTAAAAGCCTCCAAATAGACAAAGTTGTTTACCTCGAAAATACGAGTAACAATTAAATTTGATTTGTGGTTTTAAAGATATGTGATTTAGTTCAATACTAATTGATAATCAAGAAATAAGAAGTAGTGTCCTCGAGCTTAGTGACCTCGAGATGAACCAAGAATAATAAAATAAGAATGGTAAAGAGAAAGGACAATTCTGATGAACAGTAAGCGAAAAGTAGAGAGTATTCTTTGCTAATGATTAGATGATGTTACAAATGATTGGGGTCCCCTTTATATAATAGGGGAACCCTAAATAAGGTACATTTCTATTTACAGTAAGGAATATTATTGGTACAGCTATCTAACCACCTAGTACAAAGTTGCACAATCCTATTTCAGGATTTGCGTCATGATCTTGAGGACGTGGCAGGAATCTAGCTCATTCTATTACAAATCCAAAACGGTATGATTTCGAGGTCGAGCATACTTAACTTTGGTACTCCTCGCACTCCTGTCTTCGGGCATTGCATTCTGTCCTTGAGCTCAGGTCTAGTCTGTCGACCTCAAACTCGAGCTTACTTGAACTCGGACCTAAGGCGATCCCTCGAGCCTGGGAAATCGGGCGTACCTGATTTCGACCGTATACAGATAGTTCCCGCATTTCTTAGAGTTGATCGATAAGAAACAATTTGATTTTCAATGCTCCGATGCCTCGATCCCGATGCCAATCTCGTGATGTCAGCGGCTGAAGTGACTGAAAGGTCGCTTTCGTGTAGTTCCCAAAGTCATTAATTGGAGGCAGTTGGCGGTCGGCTATTTGGCTTCTCCAATACGCTTAAGTGACTTCTATAAATAGGCCAACTTCACGACTTTTGCAAACTTTGTT